GCTTGGTGATTGAGTTGCGCGAGATTATTGGGCAGAAGTTGGCGATCTGGCCTAGCATCAGCTCCAGCTGGGCGCTGTTCAGCTGTCACGCGCTGGGACGGCAGCACAGACTCCGGGTCGTCTGTTAACCCCCCGGTTGGACAACTGACGGCTTTCTTCTCCCAAGTGACACCTGGCTGTAGAAACTTGCAAAACATGGGGTCCAACGAGAGAGTATGTTCGAGGTTTTGTTTCCAATTTTCGAACGATGTTAAAGTCTCCGCCTTCGTTAGCGGCCATTGTTTGGGCGCACGAGCCGCCATGTTGTTAGAAATAAGCCGCCTTCAATGCAAAGAAAACAAGGCTCACTGCACCAAATTAAAGGTAAGTCACGGTTTCGATACGTGGGTACGGCGCTGCCATCACGCCAGTGAGTAGAGAGAACCTGCGACGTGACAGTGAGAGCGGCTTATATTTAACACGAGCAAGTGCTCAACAGACGGCCGGACGCGGCCGAGACGAGACTCTCAACTGACTACCCTCCGCCAGGTATCGTCATCTACGGACACGGAAGTTAACATTTACAACAGGCCGCCAGGTGGCATCACTATCCGCAGTACGGGCTGACGCAGTACGGGCTGGCGCAGAGCGTCGCTTATCCATCTGCACGGTAGCAGAGTCAGTCCTGAGGTCCAGCCGACGCATTTCCCAGGCGGTGGCGAGATTGATGCCCCGCACGGCGGCGTCCAGCTCCGCCATGTTGATGTGCGCTGTCTCGTCACGTCGCAGCCAGCAGCCGTCCTCCATGGGGTCTCCAGTCGGCGTCTCCAGCACCACTCCGGCCGCTATCGAGCTGGCATCCGTCCACACCACCGCGTGATCGCCTTCAACATGCCACCGTCCGTGAGCCGGGTCGTCGCGGGTCAGCCTACTGGCCACATAGTCAATTTGCTGCCGCAGGGTTGCATCGTCTGTTGGCTGGTCCCAACTGTTCGTCACCAGGAGGCGATTGGGTGTGCTCGGTCGTAGCCAAGTTTCGGACAGGAGCATGATGTCGAGATCTTGGCGGCTGAGTTCGTCCGACAGCTCCAGCAGTTAAGGTTTGTGACTCTGGACGTTAAGAGCTCCAATTAACGGACCGTTAATTGTTAAGTTAAGGTCAGGTCCGGCGCACAAGTGCGCGCGGAAAACACCCCCGCTGGGGCGAGGAGGGGCGGCGCGGCGGCCTGCTCGGCTGACCTACCGGCCGCCGACCACACGGCTGGCGAGACGGGCGGTCGGACATTTTTGGCGGTCACACCCAGTTATATTATTTACGTCTCCCCTCGCTCGCCGTTTGGGCAGCAGGTAGCGACGTGTTCCGCTCCTGGCAATGCTGTCGGTGCGACTGAGGCGCTGGGACCGTTCTATCGGATCAGGAGTACGTTTGCAGAGCTTTCATGGTGCCGTGTGCCGTTTGTGTTTCGAGTGCGGCTTTTACAGCACTCGCCCTACTTCAGTTGCAGCTCCGCAGCTTGGCCTCGTCAAATCCCTTATCTCCCAGATGGGGACAGCCCTTCACTAGCTGGTTCGCCTCACAGCACTTATCACCTTATACATCATTAGCAATGCAGCAATCACATTTGACATTACTCTACATATGGGTTTCGCGCAGTACGCAGGCCTGCCGCCTCCATCATGTTCACGTGCGAAGCCGATGCCAAGTTCGCCGCGTGACGCAGTCACCACTGTTTTTGTCATGCGGCGGTATCACCACTCATCTTGATCAGTGCGTGTGCAACGCCAATGTTCTTATTCGCTCCGCGACACGACTAAATCGACACTTTGTCCCGTGAGCCATGCGCGGTCAACTTGTACCCTGGAGAGAGCGTGGCGAGACCTATCTGTAAGAATCTTGGCGAGATCTACTTCTTTCATGTGTTTCTGTAGTTCCTGAAAGTATTTCCCCGACCGGGACCTTCTCAACGTTGCAAAAGGAGGGGGAGCACTTGTGCGCCTGTAGCTGTGAAAGTTAAAACGCCTTAACGATCATCCCAATTGAATATACGTTTACTGACCCTTCGCACCGGAGCTTTCTGTTTCCAGGAGTGCGTGACTCCGGATGGTGGCACTTCGCTGCAATGATAACGGCAGACCCTGAGGCCCTGCCGAGGCAGCTCTGGTTTATTCGATGGATGGACGCTCATCTAGTTGGCGTGGTAAGCACACGTACTGGTGTAGCAGTCCATATATCGATACGCTGATGCCACTTCAGTGGTCAAGGCAGTAGGCACTATTGTGCACCAAACTGATCGTCTTCAGCTCGATGCGCTACACCAATCGACGATAGAACCCATTTCTAGCTTTAAAGTTTCATCTTTTACTGGCTGTTTTATAATAATAATAATGATAATAGTAATAAAACGCTCGACGGACTAGCTATGATTGATACTTGTAATTATGTCTGTTCGCAGAAATGGCCTTCTGAAGTTCTGTGATCGTATCTGTTGCGGTTAATGGAGAGAGGTCAGACGCGTTGCACCAGACACCCCTCCAGACGTCCTGGAATCGATCTGCGCTGAGGGAAACGGTGCAGCTCGTGGATGGTGGTCCGGAGAAGAAGAGAGCCAGGGATGTGGGAGAGGACCATGAAGAGAGCGCAGCTATGAGTAGGACGGCGAGATGGCGGGAAGCAGGGTCGCTGCCCGCGGCGTCCTTAGGCCCCAAGTCATCATCATCATCCGGGAACGTAGACCGACGGTGGTCTGTCTCCGTAAGAGGACGATTGAAGTGCTGTGATTTCGGATAGTGTCAGCTTCAAGAAAGCAGCGGTTGAACAGGCGGTTTTAAAGGCAGGCTGGTGATAAAAATGTTTTTTTTTTCGTTTGATGGCGGGTTGTTCCGGTCTGCCAAATGTCCTGACTCCCATGGTGCCCCCTCGGGTTAAATGTGGTCATTTGTATTTGCAATTTGATTATGCATGTGTGCAACGAGCACGGGCATTGGAACACATTGCGTCATACGACGGTTTTATCTGGGTGTTTACAGACGGCTCGAAAACGGAGGACGGCGTCGGCTGCGCTTTCGTGGCTGGTCGCGACACGCGCACTTTTTCATTGCCTTCCTCTGCCTCTGTTTTCTCATCCGAGCTCGTTGCAATCGAGAAGGCTTTGTGTTTTATCGAGGTGTCTGACAACTTGTCTTATCTCATTTTATCGGATTCTCTCAGCAGCCTGCTGGCTATACGGAGGTTTAACCCAGACAATCCGATAGTCCAAGACATTTTATCTCGGCTCACGTCGGTGGAGCAGTCAGGCAAAACTATTAAGTTTTGCTGGATTCCAAGCCATATGGGTATAACTGGCAATGAGCTCGCCGACGCGGCCGCGAGACGCGCGGCCGCGGCTCCATGCCTTCGGCGTTTGCCCCTGCCGGCTCGTGATTTTTACCCAGCCATCCAAACCTTCACGATGTCAAGCTGGCAGGCAGAGTGGCATCTCCAAGGATCTGGGAAGCTGCGGAGCGTAAAGCCTACCTTGGAGCCCTGGCAGTCTTGCTTCCAAAGCAACAGGCACCAGGAAGTGGCCCTCTGCAGATTACGTATTGGTCATACGTACGCGACTCATGGCTATCTCCTCCGTGGAGAGGAACAACCCACATGCAGTCGGTGTGCCGTGCCTCTCACTTTCTCACACGTGCTTTTATCTTGTCCTCTCGCTGAACCGAACCGGACACGCTATCTCGGGCGCATCGCTCCGGATACCACTATCCGCCACCTTTTGGGTGACGACTCACCCTGGGTTTTATCCGGCTACATTTTTTCATTTATCCGTTCGATCACCTTCCAAGTGATTTACTCGACCTGACATTAAATCCAACTAGTCCTCTCTAGTCCTTACATCTAGTCGGTTGTCTAGGACGACACTCTTGCGCTGCTTTATCTTACCTTGCTCTTTTATATCGAGTCTTTTACTTTTTAGTCTTCGTATCTAGAAGGTTCTCTCTTTTGACACACTTGTTTTATTAAAACGACGTTATGGGCGCAAAATGACCTAAGTAGTCGGAGCGCCCTAAAGCCCAAATTAACAAACAAAGATTATGAGCGTCTGCCGTAACTGTAACGACGTTCACCGTTTCTACCGACTTCGTCCGACTCTAGGTGTCGAGTTCCTCGGATTTTGACGAGATCTGCGGGTTAGTTCGGAAGGAAGATATGTAGCTAGCAATGCTGACACGGATCGAGGGGTGTGATTCATGCTGTGATTTTACTTGTGAGACACTACTAAAAAAGACTTACTACTTATTACTGGATTGTGGGAAAGACGAGCTTTTCTTTTTGTGGCCTATGTAAACGGTATCGTCGCCTGTTTTAGTCAGGCGATATGGAGAATGGCAACATCTCAACGTGCGCGTATTTCGTGTGTATTGATTTTGTATTCGCTGGTTACAATACTTACCTAATTCGGTTGTATAATGGCGTAGTGCTGAAGCACAGGCCTGTAACAGGCTAGTGCAAAAAGTAGCGGAGCAGCCAGTGATGCGTTATGGTTGCTCGTGATTTGTGTTCATTGCTTATCTTTTATTTTTATACCATGTGTTGTGAAATAAATTTGAGGCAATAGAGAATGTCTTTTTATGAGGAGAATAACGTCAACTGCGTAATACTACATCATAGATAAAGCCAGTGACTAAATCTCTTGGCTTTGTGAATGCGCCTTTCAAGGACGCTCCGTCATGGTCCATTGTCTCTTCCATCCCGCCCAAAACATGGGCCCTTGTCCTTGGTTTCGGGAGCGACCTTCAGATCTAGTGCCGACACTGCCGACTCTGGGCGTCCTGCGCGAAGTGACTAGCGACGGTTCGCACACAAATAGGTGATCATCTGAAGGCAGACAATGTAAGCAAGCTAGTTCTTATTGCGAATCGGGATGCTTGGATAAATAATTGGATACTTCACCCGGACACTGAAGCTCTGCACGGCCAGGATGGTTGTGAAATGTCTACACATCTCAGAAAACCATGAGAATCGTAAATAAGTGTTTTTGCTGACAAATTTAAGAAAAGAATCATCAGACATGTCGCATCCCTCGTAACTCGTTAGTCTTTGCATTAGGCCATCTACAAAGATCTACGCATCATCTTTGATCTTATTCTAATTCTACACCAAAGCACCGCATATGCACTTGCCGATTCATACGGAGATAAATCGCCTTTACAGATACAGATACAGATACAGATACAGATGTGTATTCATCTAGGATCCACAATAAAAGTGGCTTTTCACCAGACACGTAAAACCAGATAAAACGGGGAACATATAGACAGTACGAGTAGGCATAGATATCACTGGCAAACACAAACAAGCGTGCGACTGGAACAGGTTCAGACAGCTACTCGGCGTCTCGACATGATCACACGCTTCACATTGGCGCGAAACGCTGGTATATACGGGCTCAACTCGGTACCGTTTAACATCGCGACTCCTCTAATACATAGTCGACGTCTCCCCGTCTCTGTTCGGGCCCGTGGCTGTGTTATCAGCCCTGCGTTTCGGGTGTTGTGGTCGTGTATGTCGCGGGCTACAGGACCGATGGTATCACTGATATGTTCAGGAGTACCCGATGTGATGGCTCGGTGGACTGCGCAGATAGTGTGGTACTCGGCTAATTCGTCTGCCCGCAGCCAGCCGAGCTGCTGTATGACGTCAGAGATGTGGTCGCTGCGTCTACGGCCACTGACGACTCTGGCACAGAAATTGAGAATTTTCTGGACACGAGCCATCTGGGTCACACCGCACGACCCATACACGCTTATACAATACCGCACGATCGATATGACTAGGGCTTGAACAACTACCTTACGTGTGTTTGCTGGCATCACGTGGCGGGCATGACTGAGAGCGATTAAAATTCCTGTGCATTTTGATGCCATGGCGGTGATGTGAGCTTGATAGTTCAGATGGCGGTCGAGATAAAGTCCGAGGTTCTTCACCGTCCCTGCATCGACTACAGTTGAACCACAAAAGTTGACAGTGACGGGCGGGAGTCCACGCAACATTGCTGGTGTGCCCAACACCAGCATCTGTGTTTTGGCGGCGTTAACTTTCATGCCATTGTGGCAAAACCATCGGTAGGCGGCGTCGAGTGCGGCCTCAGTGCGTGAAATGATACAATCCAAATCCCGTTTCTTTCCAGTGACCAAAATTTGAGTGTCATCTGCAAACTGTACTATGGTGACTCCGTCGGGCATGTGCAGACTGAGATCGTTAGCAAAAAGCATGTACAAGGCACAACTGAGACTACCTCCTTGGAAAACACCAATGGTGTTTTCTCTCGGTCGGGAGGTGATACTGGAGCCGTCAGCGGCGCGGACTATGACCTGTTGCACATGCCCAGCCAAATAGTTAGCGAACCAGTCGGTGTCGATACCGTATAGGCTAAGTTTTTGCAGGAGTTTTTGGTGAGACACGACATCAAAACATTTTGAAAGATCCAGTAAGACCAAAATTGAAATTTCACCGTTGTCCATGGACTGAAGAATGCGGTCAGTAATGACGTTGAGGGCCGTCTCAGTGGAGTACAGTCTCCTGTACCCGTGTTGTTCGGCTGCCAGCAGAGAATGCTCGGATAGGTAGTCGATCAGCTGGGTTTGATCTATGCGCTCAACTATTTTCATTATGCCTGGTAAAATGGAAATAGGGCGCGTGTCTGCTGGCGTGTTCCCTGCTTTGCCTTTCGGTATTGGTGTCACTATCGCGTGTTTCCATCCAGGTGGAATGAGACCAGTCGATAAACTGGAGTTCACGATGTCGAGAATAGCATGGCCAATGCCGGGAAAAAACGTCTGCAACATTCTAACACTAACACCGTCAACTCCGGTGGCCGTTGACGGTTTCATACTCAAGAGTGTGGAGTACAGTGTGTCAATATCGGTGGGTTGGACCTTGAACGTGCCTGAGGTAACGCGCGGCAGCCTGACAGGAACCGGAGCGGCGGGACACGGCACGGCAGCGGCTGTGGCAGGTCCTATAGTGACATAGTAGTCATTTAGTGCGTCGGGCGTGACCGCAGGTGGGTCGGCATGTTGCTGCTTGCGTCCTATCACGGGCTGTAGAACACGCCACAGACTGTGCCACCCTCCACGGTTAATCTGCTGCTGATAGAAGGCTCGACAGTCGCCTCGAATCGCAGCCTTACACAGCCTATTCACCTCGCGATACTCGTCACGGGAGCCGCGTGTCAGAGCCGCGCGCCGCAGCCTGAGCAGCTCCTGTGTATCAGGCGATACTTTATATCGTGAAGGACGGTGCCGCCGCTACTCCGCTAAACGCGTCGCATGTGCCTGTCTCTACTGGACATGTCCTCTTCAGTGCTTATCGAGTGCGATTGACACAAGTGGCGGCGGGCGGCGGCGGATGGGAGGGCAGTATCCGGTCGGCGGGGAGGGGAACGCCACGCCGACCGACCGACCGACCGACGCCGCCACCAGTCGTCGGCCAACAGTGGGGGGAGCCGCAGCGCCGCCGCCACGCGCCCCGGTCCCAGCCACGCGCTTCCAGAATTGTCATGGAGGTCACGGAGAGAGTCGCCAACCCCGCCAAGTGCCGGGTAAGTTCAGTCAGTTCATCAATCTGGGGTTCACGCCCTTCACATTGCATTCATTGGGATTTAATTCGTCCGTTCAAGGGTTACAGATCAACAAGCCTAAACAGGTTATTGATGTAAAAAACCGATATACCTACCTAAATATGTGAAGGTGCTATCATCCTGAAGTTATTAACCCGCGAGTTGCTGGGGGGGGGGGGCGTTAAACGCCCCCACTTTTTTCGCCGGGCCGTAGCATAAAAACGGCGCGCCGCAGGCGCGCCAAATTTTGGGTACCTGTAGAGAATTGATTGAAGTTTATTGTGACAAAGTTTTTAAAAAATCGATCGGAAAAATTTTGAGATATCGAGGTTTTAGTGACGTCATGATTTCTGAGTTTTCGACCAAAAACGGCATATGTTCAAAAAATAATATAAAATCACAGAAAAGACATACAGACATGCCGTAAACGCCATTAGACTGCCAATACCATGAACAATCAAATGGCTATCTTCGATTATTGATTATCGTTCCGCATTTTCCAAAATCTTGAACTGAATCTCGTCAGTTTCTCGTGACTACTTCACCACCATGATACATGCATTTTTTAAATTTAACTTTTTGAGCCAAACACGTACACATATGATAAAATGAATGTCACCATCGTGTTCTACGCCCCAAATTACCCATAAAACATGTGTCACAGGCTGCGAATATCAGTTTTGATTTTCGGGGATATTTGCCTACCCGGTTGACCTGACCTTGACCCTGACCTATGCTTGACTGACCTCTACATGGAGCTGACACTCTTGTAGGCCTTATATGATGGATTGTGCACCGTTTTGACAGAGTTTATGACGAGAGGCGCCAATTGCGAAGTCCTGAAGTCCATGCTACTGAAAGCCCGATTTCAGGTGTTTAACCTGACCTTGACCCCACCTGTGACCTCAAAATTCAACTTTAAAGTACTCATCTGAAGCGTCTCGTCGCGTTCTTTCGTTTGCCGCCTCGTGCGTTTCGCTGCGCCTATTGGTTCTCGAGTTATCGGCTGGGGGCGTTTAACGCCCCCCCCCCCCCCAGCAAACGGTGGGTGGCGAAATACCCCAGCAACTGCCGGGTTAATCAAACATGCATTAACAGTGGCCGTGTTAGCTGTGGCTAATCGAATCGAATGGAAGTGCAATTATTGACTGACCGTGATAGGCCTATCTGAGGTGATCTAACCTGCCGTCATAGGCGGTGGAACGGGGGGTGGGGGGCACCAGGGCACCGTGCCCCTCTTTGATTGGGGGGCACCGGGCACCGTGCCCCCTTTGATTTTGGCATTTTAACATTAGCTCTATGGGCGTTGCATGGAAAGAATGGGACCAAAATTCGGCAGTGCCCCCCCCCCCCTTAATTGAAGGTGTTCCGCCGCCACTGCCTGCTGCGGCTGAAGTGTTTGATGTCGGCAGACACGCCTGCAGGGCCGCCGCCTATCGCCCTCATGGAGCGTCGGTACGCAGGAGACGCGATAAGTGTCACTAGAGGCCGATAACGATGGAGGAGACGGGAGCGATATTAGTCGCTGGATATCGATGCTCAATGTACAAAATGTCGACCGCGGAACATCAGAAAGCATGTGGGCAGGATAAGTCTGCACCGGCACGTACCTTTCGTCCGTCTTCCAGTCTACAGGACCAACCCATCCTATCTCCTCCTTGGACATTCTCCTTCCCCACAAACCCGTACCCGTTTTGACTCACACTGAAAGGGCCTAGCCTCCGAAAAAGGCCATTGGCTGTCGGCTTTGACAAGCCCCGCCGCTGAGCGAACACGTGGGGTGGGAGGACAATTCGTCTACACACGCGGCGGCGGCTTCCCACAGACGCCAAACAGACACATTTGATGAGGAATGGCGGGGAGGTGTAACGATAAACAGACGCCCAAGATCCACTGGAGTGGCTTTGTGATAACAGGACACGCCGCCTTTTAGAGCGTCGCAGAGTACAGGCGACCTAAATAAGGGCGAATTACTTCGTAGCACCGCAAAGGAGACATCCCGTACATGAAATACTTAGGCGTACCTATTCAACACCGTGGACAACACCCATTCAATAACTGCCTCACGCTAAGGTAGATGACGTTTTGACCCGCTGATTTGTGTATTCTCTGCACGCAGGTGCACCTCCACATTCACCTGGATGGCGCCATCCGCCCCTCCACCATCTGGGAGCTGAGCAGGTCAGAACCGCCCACACACTCATCTGGGGTCCCTGCCCTGCGTGTCACTGATGAGGTATCTGATATGTTCACT